ATAAACCGACCTTGCTGAACTAAAGCAAGGTCCATCTTATTCCTGTAAAGTCTTAATGCCGCCAAATGGAAAAAATCCAGTCGATTTAGAGAAAAGTGATAGGTTCCCTAAGAGAACTTATACCTTCAACGTCACTAAGTGCGACAAAATCTTTAATTTGTTAGTTAATGATGGCCAGATGATAATGCCCCCTGGTGCTAAAATGCCTCCTTTAGAGCAAAGGAAAAAAGAGAGGTTTTTGTAAATACCATAACTTTTTGGGTCATAAAACTTCTCAATTCTTTCTTTTCCAGGATCTTATTCAAAACGCAATCAAGGAGGGAAGACTCAGGTTTGCTGACAAATCAAAGAATCAAATGAAGATAGACTCTGATCCTCTGCCTGTAGCAGATGTACATTACTCTAAACCTTCGATGGTCAACATGGTGGAAGTTACTGATGATTTCTCTAATGACACAATGATGGTCGAAGTTGCTGATGGCTTCACAAGAGGAGTTGCTGAGGATTCCAACAGAGAAACCACTAGAGGTTTCATCCAGGAAGTTACTGAGAACTTCAACCAAGAAGTCACTGATGACTTCGACTAAGAAGCTACTCAGGGCTTTGCCAAGAAGGTCACTAAGGGCCCCAACATGGAAACCACTAAAGGTTTCATCAAGGAAGCTATTGAAGGCTTTGACAAAGGGACCACTGAGGGTTCCAACCAAATAATCAAAACACATGAAACTACTAATGGTTTCATACAAGTTAACAACGAAACTAAGGCTATTGAAGGCCTTTGAATTAAGTTTCAAGAGGTGGGCATCACTGAGGGTGCCAACTTAGGAGTCAATATGGTCGAACTGACCTAAGAATCTCTAATGGAGGTGGACGAACACAGCCTTAAGCAGGAAGAGTACGTTAAGGTGGCTTATCCTAAGCAGGAGGATAATTTGGTCGAATTCCTCCATAGATACCAGAGAAATAACTCTAAAGTAATGTTGTGCCCCAAGTGGAGTGCGGTCTTCGACAAGAAGGCTGCAGAGAACATACAAGGAGTTTGACGTGCAAAGGCTAAGAATAACTGAAGGGATTTTGGTAATCGTGATGCCTTCGACAAGAAAGGAGCACCTATAAGACATGATAAAGGTGGACAAGGGCTGCGTGGAAATAAGTCTGCCACATTCAAACCAACTGCAGACACTCCTAGGGGCAAGTGAGTAAAACTAGTCGAAAAGAGGGAACAGGGCCAGAAGAAAAATGGCAGAATTTCGAAGTGGAAAGAGGTTCATCAATAGCCTACCGTAGAGAGTTTCAAGCCTCCAAACAATCAGCATGACACTCAAAGAACTATAATGGGAAAAACCCAATGTCTAGGTCTTAGTGGAGACGATAACAGAGAAGGCGTAAAGCTGAAAGAAAGGATGCAAAGAAAGAAAAAGCTTAGTCAAGCAGTAAAATGTCAATTAAGAAGGACAAGAAGGAGGATATAAGACCTGTCGAAAAGAAGTCGGCTGAAAGAAAGTTGTTTGCTGACCAGAAGGAGGAAGAAAGAGGAAAATCTGACCAAGTTGCTGCAGATGACGACATGATGACGAACGACTTTGACTCAGGTTCAGAGTCGTCGTTAGATATCATATGTAATGTAGTATCCGTACTACCTAGAGAATACGATAGGGTAACGGAGATGGATGAACCAGAAGACGAAGTCGAAATGGGGCTGGCCAATACAGGCCAGTTTGTTATTATGTATTAAAAAATGGTTGTGTCGAAGAATAAAATGCCTTCTTTGGAAGGTCCGACGAAACCATGAAAAACCATCGGAAAAAGCTACATTTGTTAAGTGTTGCTTAAAATCTTTAGATATGAATGTTTTATCAAAAATTTCCAAACTATAACATAGACTTAATTACAATTTTGGTCCCTTTATTTTACCTAATTCACGAAATCAGTACGCTATCTTAAAATCAAATAGTTCTAGTCCCCCTTTCACATATTTGCACTTAAAATTGACGATTTGTCACTTGTGAAACTTGAAAAATCATCATATAAAAACCTTTTGTGAAACATTATCATTAAAAAATAATTCAAAAAACTAACATTTCATCGATTTGTAGGGTAAAAGAGTGAGAGAGCACCAAAACTAGAGGTGGAAAAACGGGCCGCCCGCCCTGCCCCGCCCCACCCCGCCTTAAGTCCGCAAAAAAAAAAGGCGGCACACACAAGCCCACCAAGTGAAAATGGGCATAAAAATCTAGTTCGCCCCACCAAGGTGGCAGGTTGGCGGGCGGCGGGTTTGCCTGCCTACTTTTTTATTTATTTATTTTTATTTTTATTAGATTAATAGGCTTGTTTTTATATTTCAATTAGATTTTTTACTTATTTTTTAAAACAATTTTTATAAAGCATTTTTTTTAACAAATTAACTAACTAAATATATATTTTTTAATTATAGAAAATTCCCTTTTTTTAGGTACTCACATAATTTACTCTAAAAGTTTAAATTCGTTTCTTTTTTAAATTGACAAATCAAAATTCCATTAAATAAAATTGATTTCGCAAAATTCAAATCTTGTTTTCTATGATGAGAAACTAAATTAGATTTTTTAATTGAAATCGATATCTTTTAAAGCTGAAATTGTTCTTGTTTTTCTTTTAAAGTCGTCGAAATGTTTCTTGTTTTTGTTTTAAAATCATTTTGTTCTTTTTCATATTTTGCTAAGAGTCGAAGTCAATCTCCCTTATTTGAATTATCCAACATATCTGTTCTAATGATTTTCTCTAAAAACTTAAAACCTCTGCAAGAAACAAAAACATTTATTTTTTTGTATATATTCATATGTATCATAACTTATTAATATTTGTTTAGTTGATGTTATTAATTTGAGATTCTCCCAAATGATATATGTATAACAAATATGTAACAATATTGCATTGTTTTTACTCAACAGTGGCTATAGAAACATATAAACAAGAAAAGCTATCTTTGCAGGCAAAATGTACTGATTTAATTATGTCGCCTTTTCTTATAGTTTAGGCGACGCTTTAGAAAAGTGTGGTTATAAAGTAATAAAAGTTGTTGCCTTAAATAACAGGCCACACTTGTCTTTTAGGCAACATTTTTCACAGTTTTGGCACTACGTTTCAAGAAAACCTAATTTGTTGTCGATCTTAGATTATGATTGTGTAATATCCTATTAGGTTAATAATGCACAATTGTCCTAATTTACTTATATGTAACAAAGTGAAAACATCTCTCACATTTTTGGTCAAGTATGGTTGAATTAATTCCAATGGAACTATTAAGATTTTTTTTTCTCCAAATTTTAAGATCATATATCCTTTTCAGAATTGGATGCTAGCAAAAAAAAGGTCCCAATAGGATCAATTCAACTTTTCTCCAAAGGCATCATATACCTCTTAGATAGATAAGACAGAAACCCCAATATATCATATATTTAACAATCAGGTAATATATTTTAGAAAAAATAGTTAGGCTGCCAAATAGTTATCAGTATGGCACAAAATACCTATTATTTAACATAGACACTTTACTATTTCTTCGATGCTGGCAACTTAAATTAAACTTATAAATACATAATAAAATGTATAGTTAATTTTTTAGGATTTAATTTATATTCATTTATACTGGAATGATTTTTTCCACTATCATAAAATCTTAACTATCAAATCCTTAAAAATATTTAACGTGTTTTTAAATTAGTTATAAAATAACAACCATGATTGATTGTGATTCCATTTGCATAAAAAATCAATTCAATTTTTTAAAATAAATATTTAGGTATTTAGGGGTCTGTTTGTTTTAATTATAAAAATTTGTATATAATTACAAAAAGTTTTTAAAAATATTTAATTCAATTTGTTTAAACAAATATTTATGTATTTAGGGCTTCTTTTAATTAGAAAATACCAATTTGTATTTTTTTAAATTATAAAAAATTTTAAAATATTATTATTTTTTTATAAATTAAAATACTAATTTTGACATTCACTAACATAAATATATATTATTTAAGATTAAAACATATTCATAATACCATAATTTTCAAATATTTATATATATATATATATATATATATATATATATATATATATATATATATATATATATATATATATATATATATATATATATATATATATATATATATATATATATATATATATATATATATATATATATATATATATATATAAAAGTTATTTTTAATATATATATATATATATATATATATATATATATATATATATATTAAAAATAACTTTTATATATATATATATATATATATATATATATATATATATATATATATATATATATATATATATATTAAAAATAACTTAAAAATTAAGTGACTTTTTTTTTTGAAATTTTAATATCTAAAAACATTTATAGTAAAAAGATAAAATATCTAAAATAGCATTTTATGAATAATTATTTAAAATGATTTTTTATTTGAAATTTTTTATTAAAAATATTAATAAAAATTTTAAAATAAAATATATAACACTAAATATATATTTTTTTTAAAACTGAGAAAAAAAAGTGTTCTTAATTCAATCTATATTCATTATTCCCCACCTAGAGATTGCATATATTCAATCAAGAAAAAAACAACAATGAAGATTGTTTATTAATTTTTTTCGTACCAAAATAGTGCACAAAGCTCTTCACTTATTGGGAATCCGTACCAAGGACAAATCTTTGTTCCAATTTCTTGCATTATGGATAGAAATCGATTCCATAAAAAGCTTGGTCACATAAATCACTTTCATACAAATGCTATATGTTCAAAGTAGAAACCGACCCAAATATCTAATACAACATTCCCAATCTTTTCACCTCAGCCACATTATCTCAATCCACACAAAAACAAAAAACAAAACAATTATTCAACCAAACACTTCCTCAAAATCCTTATATAAACAAACATTCACCTCTAGCTCAATCACACCAAATCCCAAGTAACACATTCATACATTATTATTTTCCATTATCAATGGAGAGGGTGACAAGGTTGGCATCAGAGAGATCAGTGGTGATATTCAGCAAGAGTAGTTGTTGCATGTGTCACACGATCAAAACTCTTCTAAGTGATTTTGGAGTGAATCCAGAAGTTCATGAGCTTGATGAGATAAATGGAGGGAGAGAAATTGAACAAGCACTTTTAAGACTTGGATGTAACCCTTCTGTGCCTGCTGTGTTCATTGGTGGTGAGCTTGTTGGGGGAGCTAATGAAGTTATGAGTCTTCATCTTAATAGGTCTTTGATTCCAATGCTTAGAAGAGCAGGAGCACTTTGGGTTTGATTAATAAAATAATCATATGTTATGAGATACTATATAATAAATCTGTTTTGGTTAGTTTACTTGTATAATGACGAGATTATATATAGTACATATGAAGCCGGCCAGATATATTAAAGTTATATTATCAGAGTTTATATGTCAATGTATGCTGCATATAGATGATTGAGCTCGATGTTTAATGAGCTCGAGTTAACGATATTATCGTTTTAAAAAAGTTTAAGTTTCAATATTATCCTGGCTTAAATAATTATTAGTCAAGTTAAATTTCAGAATAATATTTTTTCGCGCGCATGCGCATTTATAGTTCTGGTCAGTCAAAGGTCGAAATGGCTATGACTCAAATTATTTATTCCACATGACTCAGTATAAAGTCTTTTTACGCAAAATGTAAGGTACACTTTCTTATTTCTACTTTTCACTATATTTATCCTAAACTTTGTGTGTTGGACTGATAGCCTTGTAGGTTCATCTAGCGTCATAGTACGTACCTGAGATCAACATTAATGTTTGAGATTCCTCACCTTTGGTCTACACCTAATTTCTAGTTTCAAACCAGAACAACGACTTCGTCTATTGAAATTAACTCCTAATTTTTGCGAAAATTCCAAAAATAGATCCTTCTAGATCCAAACTCACACTACTACAAAAAAGTAGATACAATGACGTCATCATTATCACGATCCTTCAAAAGACCGTGGTGATATCTCTAAATCTAGGCGTCTATGTATTTTTTTTTATTTTTTTATTAAACGTTAATTTATTAGCACGATTTTCTTAAACAACCGTGGTGATATAATTTGACGTTTTTTGAGTTCAACTCTCAACATCTTCTATTTCGTAATTTCTTCAGAACTTAGCATCACCTTTCATTTTTATTTAAATGAAAAATGCTATATCGCTACGATTCTTTAAACTAACTATTATAATGATATATTTTCTATATTTTTTTAAAATTTTAATTACTTAAAACTTGACCTTTTTTTTAAACTATCACTAATACGGTTGTCTTAAAAAACCGTGGTGATATATTTATTATTATTTTTTAAAATTTTTATTTTTTTAAGACATCGTTTTTTTTTATAAATTTCATCATATATCACAACAATTTTGAGAAACAACGGTTGTGATATCATTTAATCACTTTGCACAAAACTAACTAACTTGTCTGTTTAGTTGCATATTTTCATTTTCATAGAGAAACAACCCCTAACGAAACAACACGGTTTTCAACCCTAACGAAACACACATCACCATTTCAACCCCAACGATACAAAATCAGTTTCAACCCTAACGAAATGTTCAACGCCATCTTCAAACCTGAAGAAACAACACAATTTTCAACATTTTCATCTGCTTTCGTACTGTCGAGGAGGGAGCCGACATCGTATTCTTCGTTCTTGAATAGCCTTCGATTTAGTTGTCAAGGAGGAACTTTAAAATTCTCACAAAATTTTCTTACTTATTCATCATGTTTCCGGCACGTAAACTTTTTTATCCCATGCATATACAATACCTACATTTTCCATTGTTATTTATGCTTATCTATTTGTTGTTGTTGATTTTTATTGTTGTTGTTTATTCTTGTTGTTGTTGATGATGCTTTATTGAAGATGGTGTTTGTTGTTGTTGTTGTTGTTTATTCTTATTGTTGTTGATGCTTATTTGTTGTTGTTGTTGATGCTTAATGTTGTTGATGATGGTTAATGTTGTTGTTGAGGCTTAATGTTGTTGATGATGCTTGTTGTTGTTGATGCTTATTATTGAAGTTGATGCTTATTGTCGTTGTTGATGCTTGTTCACTACTACAAAAAACATATACAACAAACGGCTGAAAAATGGATAACATCATGTGTGACCTGTCGTTGTTACGTAGGGTATGGTTGTATATGTCCTACTTACAATCACAATCATATGACCGTTGTAGAAAACCTGAAAGCGTTTCATTATATAATAACCACACTCGAATCCCTTCGGTTGTTTCCTCGTCTACAAAAATAAACATTAATTTCATGAATGTTATAAACACACATGCATGTAACAATATATATAAATGAATGTCATAAGTAATATATCCACTTACATTAGGGAAGATAAAAGTTGGCTTTTTTTCTAATATTGTTCAACATATTACGTCGCTGCACAACACTGTACATTGAAAATACTTTACGGGTTAAACCAATTAAATCAATTACAAAGTCAAAGAAAATATATATTACTAAAAAGTTTAATATAAACATAAACTTATCCATTAATAATTTGCTTAATTTTATGTTCGAGTGGTTTATGTAATGAACGCAGTGTCGTTATCGTATTCGTCTTAAGCGATATGATGATCAATTGTCAATGATCACTGAATAAAGACGAGCATATATATAATTAGTATTTCCTAAAACAAAACTAACTATAAAAGATAACCACAATTTCAAAATTACTTATGCATTGATAAAGGGTGCTAAGTAACATTCTTTTCCCCCTTGACTTAACTGTTCTGAAATATAGGACTCAATCTCTTTTGGCTTAGTATTTGTCCATCGAATATTAAATGGATCCAAGATGCCATAAATATTCGATTTATTTAACACTATACATACACAATAAATGTACCTAAATGGTTAAACAAAATTCAAAAAATAAGTAAGGATATACAAAAATGATAATGTATTGTAGACAAAAATGATAATGTACCTAAATAATAATATACTTACGTGCACCGAACTTACAATATCCCTACGTCCAGCCAATTATTTCCATAGAGAAAATCTCGTATGTTACTAGGATAAAAATAGAAGATCTCTATCGTTGGACAATGCTCTAGAGTAAGAGAATACGGGTCATTGCATTCCGCAACTAAAACATATAACGTGGCGATTTCATTTGCGGAAGGATCCAATAATTCATTGACCTCTTTAAAAGGGGAGGCTGAACAATTACTTCCTTTAGTGCTAGCATGACATACAACATGTGTTTGGGGAACTTTATTGTCATCAATATTATCATCATTTTCATCTGTACGTTGTGGTAAGGATCCATTTATTCTTTGCGACATAACATTCATTTTGAACAATACATAATAAACACATTTCTATATTTTCTAACTTTTCATATTAAACACAATATATCATACATTTCATATAAGACACTAGCATTTCAGATAAAACACTTGCCACATATAGTTCTTCTAACTTTTCTATGAATTTCTTCCGATTTTCCCGCTCGGCTTCTAACATCTTCCTCTATTCTTCTAACTCCTTCTTAACAATCGCAGACTTTTCTATTTTCTATTGTAATTCGATGTTTTCAACGCTTTTTTTTTTGTTGGACCAAAGAATAATCTCAGATCGACGCCTTCTCCAACACCACGAACGCACTCATCATGCTCATCTATTCCAATAGCCTCATCTAGTATATCATGTCGCGGTTCTAGAACAAGTGAACCTCCACGGTCCTCCTCAACCAACGCATCCTACACAACATGCGTGATAATATTAATATTGTAATTACCATAACATTTAAATAACATATAACATACGCACAACAAATCACACTTACAATTTTCTCAGTAACTGCTCTTGACGCATCTGAGGTGTACTCTTCATTTAGTCTTAGTCGAGCTCTCTTCCACTTCTCATGCCTTGAAGGTGAAGATAAGATGTGATTGCAACTAATGGAGTCCTCGTCTCTCATTTGTTGTTTTTTTTCCTCCATCATTTTTTTCTCCAGTTTCCTGTAACCCCCATGAGACAATCTATGGGGGTAAATATTTTTCGCTTTATTTTGTATTCCTGCTTGACTTTTATTATGTTATAAAGATAGTGAAAATAAGATTACTATATATAAATTATTAGCATCAAATTATTAAGATAAATAAGTCTAGTACTAACTAGGAATTTCTTAGAACGATGAACCTTTGCAAACTTTTTCCAAACCTTCTTTGAGAGAAAAATATACCTCACCCATGGACGCTCAAGACCAATCTTAGGCTTCCTAATGCGGTCACGTGTGAGCGGTGACTTAAAGTCCCTCCAACACGTACCAACATGAGTTAACCACTTTTTTAAGTGCTTATCACCATCTATAAACTCAAAGGTCAACTACATTTAAATCAATAAAAATGTATTAGAAATTATAGAAAGTCATATCGAAATGATGAAAATTAAAACTAATACCTTAACATTTATCCATATACTATCTTTGAAATCATTTAGCGTTCGTTTCCAATCATCTACCAATATAGTAACATTTCTATGTCCAAAGAATGCAACATAACTCTTAAAAAGAGAAGAGTATTCACCATCAATTACTTTATAATGCCAATCAAACGCGATAGGAAATTTGATACCATATTTGTGGATTTTGGTTACTTTGGTAAGCATTGTGGCACCTCTTTGTGATATTTTCTTTTTTATTTGAGTATCACTTGTCATAGTTTCCTTGCCAATAAATGAAGAATACGACGAAGACGACATCTAATTTCAAAAACAACAACAACCTCAACAACAACAAACTCTTTCATCTATTATTATATATACATTCAACAACAACAACAACAACAACAACAACAAACTTTTCAAAGATTATCACATACACATTCAACAACAAACACAACAACAAACTCTTTCATCTATTATCACATACACATTCAACAACAACAACAACAAATTAATCATGTTTTATGAAACACATTCAACAAGAACCAGAAAAACAATAATAACAACATTAATAATAATGGAAACTGGAGTTTACTGTAGATGCATGGGAAAAACATTTTATGTACCATAAACGTGATGACCAAGTAAATATGAATATTTGGGTTGATACAGATAATGTTGTTATTGTAATCCTCCTTGACTATGACAATGATGTTAGTGTTGGCGTTGGTGTGTTAGGGTTGAAAACGAACCAATGACAATGATGATGATGAATGATGAACCGATGATGATGATGATGAATGATGAACCGATGATGATGAACAATGATGAATGACAATGATGAAGGATGAA